ATGGCTCTGGGGTGAGTAAAACACAGCCTAATTTTCATTTTTGGGAGAACTAACCCTTTAAACAAGCTTTTTGTGAAAAGTTCAGCTTGAAAATTATTTATGCATTGAATCTTTATAATATTTTGTCATGCTGTCTCAAAGAACATTATGTTTGCAGCTAGTTTGTCCTCCTACATCCCTCATTTTCTGAGCAAACGGCGCCTCCACACCTTATTCTTCTCTAGTTTCTGTCTCTGTTTTTCCTCCAGTAGAGCTCTTCGTTTCTCCGCCTTCAGTCGCTGTTCCTCTAACTTCCTTCTGCGCTCCTCCAACTGGCTCTCGCGCAAACGCTGTGCCTTCTCCTCCTTCTCCAACCACTGAGCTTTCTTGGCCGCTGAGAGGAACAGAGAGAGTTTTTGAGTGATGCTGCCTGCTATATCTTATGACATTTTCTGTCAGAATTCTCAATTACATTTCATCTAAAAAATAATCATTCACCCAAAAATGTTCTCACCCTCAGGGCATTTAAGATGTAGATGAGTTTTTTTTTTCTTCATCAGAACAGATTTCATCAGACATATTTTTTTAGAACTCTTTTGGATTGTTTTCACTTGTAAACAGAGTTTGATCTTGTGCATATTTCTCTCCTGATTCAGATTAGACAACTTTTTCACTTGAGAAAGCAATATTTTGGATAGAGGACGCAATATTTTAGCAACGGTTAGACGTTAAAAACATCTTAATGATGGATTTGTTTCTTACAAACACGCAGCTTTTCTCTACAGAAGATGTCGGTGGACTGGAGTCGTGTGGATTACTTGTGCATTATTGTGATGTTTTTATCAGCTGTTTGGACTCTCATTCTGACGGCACCCATTCACTGCACAGGATCCATTGGTGACCAACTGATGTAACACAAATTTCTCCAAATCTGTTCTGATGAAGAAACAAACTCCTCTACATCTTGGATGACATGAGGGTGAGTAAATGTTTCAGCCAATTTTAATTTTTGACTACTGAAATATTTGTTTAAGTGTCTTTCCTCATATGTTACTCTTAAAATTCCTTCTGAACATATTCAAAGGCATTGAGATCTTTTCTGAAAACCTCAAGGAGATGCGAAATAACTGAGGTCTTTTTCTCAAACATTTGAAAAGCAGGAAACTTCAGAAAAAGTCTCAATTTAGCAAAAATGTCATTACTATCTGGCAGAAATAAATGAAATATTAAAAATACCTCATGTGAATCTATAATCAGAACTGACTGTTTTACATTCATTAAACATTAATAATTGCACACCCAGCTGTTGATTTACTTTCCACTTATATTTATAAAATCCATTGCTTAAGGAAAACAAAACTGCTAATAAAACAGCATTTTTCTCTCATGTGGGTTCAGTCGTTTCACTTCAAAAACAATTAAAAACCAATCAAAGCTCTTTATTTTAAACCCCAAGCACGCTGTGCGGCAGCTGGATGCATTCTGCTCACAGGCCGGATTTAAGGAACACACGAGACATCACACTGTGGAATTTCCTGTTTTTCAGTCCTTCAACCATAACCAAATCTAAACACACACACACCAGTCCAGATGGGATATGAGTTGAGGAATACCAACACAAAGGAAGTGCTTCCATTCACAGCATTGTTTTAGATCCATGTGTGGCAACCAACTGTATTTACTTTACCCTGTTTCATTTCAAAGGCACATCTGCTTTACTGCACAGGAAATGCAGTGACTCAATAATGAGATGAGCTGTGACTCAGATAAAATCTTGTTTGAGTATCTGAGAAGCACTGAAGTTCACTGAACACAAATTAGGCAAAAAATCTGAACAGAGAAAATGTGGCTGTACTGTGTTGATTAATATCTTTTTAGACCTTAAGTAAAAGCGAGAAGTACAATGTGGTAGCAAATTGCTACCATGGTGTGTTTTGAAAAATCTGAACATATATATGGTGAATATGTTCACAAATGTACATGTTCACAGCATTTCCTTTTACACAACACGTGTGTGCGTGTGTGTGTGTGTGTAAAAGGAAATGCTGTGAACATGTCATTTGTAATGACATATTTTGAACTGAATTGCATTGAGAATATGTATATATATTCTAAACATATATAAAATATTTATTTTTAATTATATAGCTTTTTTACTACATCAAATTAGGACATTTCAGTTTCACAAATTCATTTTTAGCTTTTTGAGTATTAAATACTCTATTATGTTGCCTAATAATGTTATTGTGTTGCGTTACATTTTATATTGCTTTATATTGCTTTCTTACTACATAAAATATTACAACATTTCAGATTCATGACTTCACTTTTAACATGATCTTAAATAGTCTCTTATGTAGACTATTTAAAACTGTGTAGCAGGCATGTAGTTTGTGCACTGAGGAAGTCACTTATGTGTAATTCTGACTTTCTCTAAATCCAATTACATAAAACCCTTCAACCCTTTATAAATTATATAACAATTCTGTTTTATATCCTTCAAAGTAAGATGATCTCAGTCTTCATTTTACACCACTGGTCTTAGCTGCAGTGAACCGCTAGTGAGCTAAACAGCGCTTGCTAATCCTATTAGTTTCATACAATATGCTATATGACAGTGCGACTGCGCTGAAACATAGATTTTATACTCAATGCAGTTCAGTGTAGCAGCAATCCGGCTCTAAGCCAGGCTTCGTTCTAACAGCTAAGCCAGGTTTAGGTCTTTGTATACACAGCATTTAACAAGATATTTCGTCCCAAGCTACAATAAACCCTTTATGTAAAGACTACTGCTGTGGGGCAAGGCTGGACTTGTCGAACCGATAAACAGCCGGACAGCCAGAAATTGTGGTTTATCTGTGTCTCTACAGCTGAAAGTGAGCTGATAACCAAGCAGGCTAATCATGCTAATGGAAAACGTAATTAAAGCTAATCTGAGAGAAGCATGGCTAAATGAACTGCAATGACGGCACATTTTTCACCCTGTGCCTGCAGGGATCTATCAGATAGTTAAGAGTCGGGAACGTGAGACACATGCATTGATTTATGAAGCCTGGTGCACATGGAAATGATTCAGTTAATTTAAAATAATATTCCTTAATCATGATGGTTTATGACATTGTGGATAAAGAAGTCAAACTGGACACAAAAAAGGAGAAAAACGAAAGGACTCAAAGAGTAAAGGACATGAAATAAATGGAAACGATCCACTTCATCAAATTATTGATCGCATGGCGTATCTTACCTTGCTCCTGGGTTCGCTGTTCTGCAGCAGTAAACACAAATCACAAGCACATCTGTCAGTCACATCACTTTGTACCGTTAAATGATGTTGCTGACTTCACAGAAATGTGTCTCGCTGAACATCATTAGAAACCAGTTGGCCTTGTATTGGCAGTTAAAGTTTGATTACCTAATTACACATGAGAATAGTATATAATTGGGTTAATTATTATTTGGCCTCACGCTGACTCTTTAGTCCCAGTAGCTTTAACTGTGTGTATATATATATTGAGATATACTTCAGTCACTACTAGATAAATGTTTTGTGTGGCATAAGCATATCATTATCTCTACAGGGCTGAACGTGTCCTGGGACAAAAGCTGTGTTTATGAAGTCTCACCCAAATATTTGGCCCGTTCCTCTCGCCTCTTTTTGGCCTGTTTCTGCCGTTGCTCTGAACTCATCCCATCTGTTGAGGAAAAAGCAGATAATGCTTTAAAATGTACTTTTCATATCTTTAAAATTACCCTAAAATTGACATTGGCATAAGTATGTCATTTGCAAATAAAATACTATGCAAATGAATGAAATGCAAATGAAATACCAACATTTCAGTAGCCGATACCAATACCATTGATATCCTAAATGATATTTAGAGGAAAAACCTCTTTATTCAAAAAGTTTAATATTAATACAAATATTAACAAAAGCAATGGCATAGAAAAAAAATATTTGGAAAATACATACATTTGA